TATTTTACATGACATTCTAGTTGAGATCTAATTTTTAGACCCTGGATTTCATCACCCAGGTATTCCACTGTCTTATATAGAGCATCTAACTTTTGTTCTAATTTTCTATCTATATTTTTCTGTGTTCCCAATGCTAAAGTAACATTTCTAGACAAATCATTGACATAATGAGCAGTTTGTACAGTTTGTGAAAGAGCCACCGCAGCGGTGGCAGCAGTAGCTATAAGAGATACAATAGCAAGTATTCCTGCAACAATTAGTCCATTCACCCTCCTCATAGATGGCATGTCCAGCAGCGATGTGTTGTTCACTTTCACAATGACATTTGGTCCTTGCTATATGGTCGGATGTAAGAGAGGTGGGTCAGGAAAGTATGTCCAGTAAATTGCACCTTCAGCTGTCATCGCCAGGCTCAGCAAGATCAAGGTTAGGGTCATCCCGCCGGGTGTCTGGTGGAGCGGCGAAACGAACCAACCTCTCTGGCAACCACCTGGCATTTTCTGCATCCTGTGGAAAAACACAAACATGCCCTCGTCCCCATATTAATACCGGGTGGGGGCCATGCCGATTAGTTTTGAGCATCAGAAATTCAGTTTTTTGAGCTTCAGAAAGAATTTGTGGAGAAACCGGGTAGGTCTCCCCCTTTTTTATTTAGTTTTTTTGATTTTTGAGGGCATCACGTCATCTTTTTGTCATGTTTGTTTGACTAGTCAGATGACATTTTCCGCATGGACTTTCCCAGCAGGGCAACAGCCACAGCAAGTTCCTGCGTATATGACAGCCCTATGTCAAAACACAACCTAACGTAATCACTTAAGTCTCCTTTCTTTCTAAAGGGTCTGATTGCTGCTTGACAGGCAGAATTTGCATATTCATAAGCCAGCTGTTTTACCAGCAGAGAACTGGCTTCCAGGTTCCCTAAAAGCTGTGAAGCAGCCTGCAACAAGCGTACCACAAAGTCCTGGAAACTCTCATCAGGGCCTTGGCGGATCTTAGACAAATCTTCAGTTGGCTTCCCTGATGGGGGCAACTTATACCAAGCCCTTTTTGCAGCGGTATTCACTTGAGCATACGCTCCAGGATCAAAGGCCAGCTGATAGGCCAAAAGGAGGTAGAGGCCTTCCCCAGCAAGCATGTCATAAGTAATTGGTATATTTTGTCCCTGATTAACTTCCGCGGTAGATTTGCACTGTTTTGCAAACTCAAATTTCCAAAGCAAGAAGTCTCCCCCTGACAAGCAAGCTCGCGCCAGCTGTTTCCAATTCTCAGGGGGCAAGGCTTCTGCAGATAACGTTTCTAACATTGCCTGGGTAAATGGGGCAGTAGGCCCATACTGCGCATAAGCCATCTTTAGTTCCTTTAGCTGCTAACTTCCAAACATGGGTCTGCCAAACACCAGAGCTAATTCTCCATAGGCCAGCAGAAAAACGGTGTCATTTCCCGAGAGTCGCAAGAAATTGAGAATTGTCTCATTAAAGCCTTCTGATAGTAGATACTGCACAACATTCTTCTGACGACATCGGTGCCAGCGCATGGCGCCTTCCTGCACGTGTCCTTTCCCATGACAATGTTCAAAGGGGATGGTATCATTGATGCCTACAGGTTTTCCATCAGGATCCCCTAGTTCAATAACTGCATCATTGTTCTGATCCTGAGGCCATGACTGGCCTGTAGTGTTTAAACATCCCAGTTGGGACATAGAATTAAGCAAAAAACAAATAGGCAAGCCTATTGCTGATCCTGTGAAATTGAAATTGCTATATACATACTGCTGTTCCATGGCCAATGGCAGTCCTAAAAGTTCTGCATTGCTAGAGAAAACTCGAACTTGTGGTCCAGACCATACAGCAGGATGCAGCACTGGAGGTTCAGGAATATATGCCCAATGTAACTCTCCCTCAGTTACCGCTGGCAAGATCAGTAAGAACAGGGTGAGCATCACGGCAGTCGGAAGAACTTGCAAGGCGGACCAATCTCTCTGGCAGCCATCGCGGCCCATCTTCATCCTGTGGGAAAACACAGACATGTCCTCGACCCCAGATCAGCACAGGGTCGGGACCATTCCATGACCCGGTCAGAGGATCTTTCCACCTTACTAGAGCATAGTGTTGAGAAGTAGAGGGATGCCAAAATCGATCAGCTGCAGACCGCACATGGGTGTCCGAAATTAAAAAAATTTAAAATAAAAAGGGCATGATTAAGGGAGTTTTGAGGAGACAGAGGGTACAGCTCCCCCTTTTTTATTTTTTTCAACTGATTTTTGAGGGAGCTATGCGCACGCTCAACGACACCTTGGCCTTGGGGATTATAAGGGATACCCGTTTTGCACTCTATTAAATTGTGAACAAAAGGTGCGGAAAGCTTTAATAGTATAACCACTGCCATTGTCAGTTTTAATAATAGAAGGTATGCCCAAGGTTGCGAAGCAAGCCAAACAATGAGCTATAACATGCTTTGTAGCCTCTCCGGCTCGAGCCGAGGCATATAGGCATCCCGAGAAAGTATCGATGGCAACATGAGCATATTTCAAGCGGCCAAATTCAGGTACGTGGGTAACATCTATTTGCCCTCTGGGCCTGTCCTTGCTGGTCTTGTGCGTCATAAACAGGAAAAGCCATCAAGGAGAACCCAGGAATGGATTCTCCAGCAGCAGCTGCCGGTTGCAGGCCT